TGATGTGTAGTTTATATGATTACTTACCAGACTGCTTAACCCCTCTGGATGCATAAATTGACTCTTATTAACAGTTATAACAGGTTCATCTCCATTTACTTCATGCATTACCTAATAATAAAATAGGACAATATATTATAATAATTCTACATGAATCATAACTGAAAGTTTAGAAAGCACTGCCGTATGTTGAAGGAGAAGCATGAAATAATAATTAAAATTGAATTTGGGGCTAAACTCTTTGTAAAAGAAATATGATCTTCAAAACTGATTTTGATAATACTAACTAGAACATTTTTCTGGAAACTTCATTGATAAAATGCTTGAAAATGTAGGTGTGCATGGCTTTCTCCAACAGTTTTATATATGGATAATATGGCCAAATATGGTTACCAGGGTGTTCTAATCAGCTTATGTACAAATGCAAACAAAGATGTGACAAAGTGTTACAATGATATTGTAATAAAAGTGAACTTACCTTAGATGAGATAGGTGCTGAATGTATGATGGGTTGAGAATACACACCAAAATAATCTATGCCATAAATAGACGCTGGTTGCTCTCTATCTGTTCCAAACTGAAAAATGAATTTAAACAATTTACAGCACTCTGTTATTGTATAATAAATTGAGTGAACGTGTAATATAACCAATGACAGAACATTACCGTATGAGTGAGTGGTTGATTAAGGCATTGTATTGTCATAATTGATGAAAAACATACCTCGAAATGAGCAGCTGTGTGGTATTTCGTACCAAGCACATCACTTTCATGACGTAAACTTTTAGGATCCAAAGCTTCAGTTTTTGGTGCTAAATTAGTGATAGAATTACTAATATGAGGTAGTCGCACACTGTTTTCTTCTGCAGTTGAAAAAATATATTTCTCATTTAAAATTGGAATGCCTATTAAAAAGAATGTAGTTTAAGAATATTGGAAAACTAGTAACAACAGTACAGATTGAAACACACTAGTGATGGCAACTGTACAGATTGAAACCCACCAGTGATAGCAACTGTACAGATTGAAACCCACCAGTGATAGCAACTGTACAGATTGAAACCCACTAGTGATAGCAACTGTACAGATTGAAACCCACTAGTGATGGTAACTGTACAGATTGAAATCCACTAGTGATGGCAACTGTACAGATTGAAACCCACTAGTGATGGTAACTGTACAGATTGAAACCCACTAGTGATGGTAACTGTACAGATTGAAATCCACTAGTGATGGCAACTGTACAGATTGAAATCCACTAGTGATGGTAACTGTACAGATTGAAATCCACTAGTGATGGCAACTGTACAGATTGAAACCCACTAGTGATGGTAACTGTACAGATTGAAATCCACTAGTGATGGCAACTGTACAGATTGAAACCCACTAGTGATGGTAACTGTACAGATTGAAATCCACTAGTGATGGCAACTGTACAGATTGAAATCCACTAGTGAAGACAACCGTACAGATTAAAACCCACTAGTGATGGCAACTGTACAGATTGAAATCCACTAGTGAAGACAACCGTACAGATTAAAATCCACTAGTGATGGCAACTGTACAGATTGAAACCCACTAGTGATGGCAACTGTACAGATTGAAACCCACTCGTGATGGCAATTGTACAGATTGAAACCCACTAATGATGGTAACTGTACAGATTGAAACCCACTAGTGATGGTAACTGTACAGATTGAAACCCACTAGTGATGGTAACTGTATAGATTGAAACCCACTAGTGATGGTAACTGT